AGCTGCCTCTGCGCGTCCTGTGGATGTACCTTTGTCGCGCGCCGGAGATGACTCGACGCCGCTGAGATCGGAGATTCAAGCTCTGACAGGTCGCACGTCGCTCCTTTGACGCCGACGTGACTCACCCGTGCAGATCACATCAGGACACGGTCTCGACGCGCTCGGTACGACGCCTGCGACCCGTCTTGGGTCAAGTGGCACGACGCTCATCGCGCCTACCAGCGCTGCCGTGCAGGCTGCCACGACAAGGTCGAGCACGCTTCTATACGCTCGCCCAGCCTCCCTTTCCATCCCATTAGGCAGCATGGGAACGGTGGCGAGCAGAGGCAAAGCCTACGAGGGGTGGTGGAACCACATGTCGCGGCTACTGCCGGCTCGACCCCACGATAGCCTCCGAAGGCTGACTTTGAGGCACCATCATCGGACGATGTCGACGAGTTGGGTCGCTCTCGCGGTAGCCAGGTAGCCCCCCATACTAGTAGCACCGGCCATGGCCGCAGGAAGCTCGGGGGAGGGCGCTGGGAGCAACACGGAGCTCCGTTGGACGCGTTTTCAAGATTAGCGTGTCAGAGTGAATTGGAACTAGCCAGTCTGCTAGTCCCCCACCGGGAGGACGACCCCGGCTAGTCGCCGACCACACCCACAAAGAACCCTGCACAAAGATCGCAAGGGCGGGGGCCTGTTCCTTTTTACCCATCTCACAGTAGAGAGGTGTCCGTTTTTATTTATTTATTTATCTAATTCTACTCATCACAACAACACTCGCCAGGAACACCCCCACACTGTAGGATGCAGGGTGGAGGCCGTTTCGGTGGTCGGCTTTGAAACAGGCTCTGAGCATAGTGTATACCGCAAACATCTACGTGGACACAACCTCAACGACAACGTGGAGACGTGTGTGCGAGCGAGCGACGAGGCGAGAGCACCAGCGCGCCGAGAGGCGAGAGCTAGGCGCGACGCCTGTGGCTGCAACGCGAGGGGGGCAAGCCGGCCAGGCCGGCGAGCGGCGAGCGTTGCGCCTTCACGCGCCCTGCACGGCCGCCGCGGCCGCCAGCCACGACATCTCACCCTCCGCCTTGGCGGCCTTGAGCAGGCAGTGCAGCTCCTTGACGTCGTCCTCCTTCGCGCGGAGGAGCTTCTCGGCCGCGCGGTCGGCCACCTGACGCAGGCGTGTGGTGCGGTGAGAGCTGGCTGGGGGTCTCCCCAAGCGGGGGCGGGCGCGCTCGCGGGGTGGGGGGGGTGGTCCGCTGGGCGGGCGCGCCTTGTGCTCGTTGCGGATCTCGATGGCCTTGTTCTCGCCGAGGATGGCCGACTTGGCGGCGACGAGGAGCGTGGCGAGCTTGAGGTAGCCGACGCGCTTGTCGTGGTAGATCTTGAAGGCCGCCTTGAGCTCGTGCGCGAGGCGGATCTCCTCGTGCGTGTCGCCGCGTGCCTTGGCCTCCTCGGCGCGCGCCTCGAGCGGGCTCATGTTGCGCTCGTGCTGTTGCGCGTCGGCCTTCATCTTCTTGCCCTCCGACTTGCCGAGGTGGATCACCGCGATGAGCTCCTGCGTGAACGGGCGCGGTTGGCTGGGAGTAGCCGGGCAAGGGGCGGTGGGTGGTCGCACCATGATGCCGGTCACGCCCTTGGTGGCGACGTGCTGCCAGCAGAGCTTCAGGAGCTCGTCGCCCACGCCCGCCTGCTTCAGGCGTGCGTAGAGCGCCACGACGTGCGACTCCTTTGCGAGCTTACGCGTGGCCGTCTCGACCCTCTCGAGCGCGGAGACCTGGATCGGAGCGATCGTCTTCTCCATCGGCGACGGCGGCGCCTGCGAGCGCGATTCAGGCGGTGCCGTCAGCGGAGCGGCAGGCGGGCGGTGCGCGGTGCGGGTGCGCGGTGCGGGTGCGCGGTGCGCGGGCGCGGTGCGGGGCTGGCGGGCGGTGCGCGCACCACCTTGGCGGCCGGTGGCGACTGGGCCGGGTCCGGCTTGAGGGGCTCCGGCATGCCACTCGGAGGCGGGTTCCCGCCGAGGAGGTCGGGGCCGTGCTGGCCGGCCACGCCGGGCGCGGGGTGGTTCGCGCCCACGAACTTCTTGGCGCAGCGCCGAAAGGCGACCACCAGCTTGAGGCCGCGGTTGACGCGCGGTTCGTTGGAGTTTGTGATGTCGCCCAGCATCGTGTGGACCTGCTCAATCAAAAGCTGCAGCTGCGGGAAAAAGAATTTTACAACAAAACTCCCTCGCACGACACTGGGCACAGGACTGGGCACGGGACTGGCTCGCACTGGCACTAACACAGGTACACCACGGGAGCCGCCTAAGCGACTCCTGCGAGGGAAAAGAATTTTAGACGCGCACGACACGATTCACGCGACAGGCGAGGCGCGGGCGACAGCTTCCTCAGAAGCCGTCGCCCGCACCACAGGAGCAGTCACACCACTCCCACTCCGGGAAAAAGAAAATTCGAGCCGCCACAGTCGCTGTGGTGGGATCGCTTACGGAGGGAGCACAAATAGGACGCCCAGCCTTGCCCTCGTGCCGCCGAGTGCGTATCCTATGCGAGAGAGATCCCCTGTGCCCGTGCCCAGACCTCTCCGCGCCGCGATGCGCCCTCCCCCCTCGCTTTTGCAAAATCCTGCAAAGGTGGGGACGTGTCTGTCCTCGACCCAGCCCTAGCTTGGGATGTCCGGTTTATTTATTTATATGGGATCGCTTGTTTGTCATGTGAGAGAAAGCGGATACAAAACAAGAACACAACGCACTCTCTCACATGACAAGCGATCCCACGACAGCGATTGTGGGGACTACATGAACATGAACATGAACATGATCCGCACGTGAAAGGTGGAGGGGCCCGTGAAAACAGTTGGCCACTCCTACGCCTTCGGCAACACCGAGGAGAAGGCCCGCCGCCTAAAGCTAAACCTGGGCTGCAAGGCGCGCGGGCAGCCCGGCCAACCCTTAGACCACAAGTGACAAGAACGGCCACGGCTACGTCAAGGCGCATCGCGGTTTCTACCACGACGCGATCTTTGTCAAGCGCAACAACTTCAACCTGCTCTGCTCCACGAGACGTTCGGCGGCGGCTTCTCGCCCACCGCCGTTCTCAAGCTGCGCCGCCTCGCGCGCAAAGTCGCGCGCGGCAGCGTCGACCGCACGGCCTACTCGCCCAAGTACTCGCTCTCTTTTATGTCTCACCATGCAGAGCGCATCTCTCTCTCTGTTGTGCGAGGCGTGAACCGCGCCATTCGCTCTCACCTGGCAACCCTGTCTGCACGTCTCGCGCGCGCGTGAACAGGGCTCCAGGCCCCAAATAACGTGTGAGTGTTAGAGTTGTTTGGTATTGCTAAAAATCTCTCTCCCGTCCGCGGAGCTAGGCGGTACGGGCGCCCTCCACTGCGGCCGCGCGCGAGAAGCCGTCCGCCGTTTGCTTGTTCGTGAGACGTGACAGAGAGAGAGAGCGACTTGTTCACTTGTCTTGTTTTGTATCCGCTTTCTCTCTCTCCTTAGGTTAGGTTCTCGTGCACACACACACACACACACACACACACACACACGCAGAGACGAGTGTGAAACAAAGGGCGGCGGGCATGGAGGGCGGTAGCGACGGGGATGGAGACGGTGACGGTGGCGAGGGAGAGGAAGGGGGTCCATTAACACCAGACAGCGAGAGGGGCAGGGAGGAAAGGGGGAGAGAGGAAGCCAACGCGACGTGCGCAGAGGATGAGGATATAAACTGGGACGACGCAGCGGAGGGGATAGGCGAGGGAATCGAGGGACCGGAGGGCTTTCGCGACAGCGACGATGACGACGAAGAAAGGGGAGGGGACGGAGGGGCGACACGCAGGAGGAGCGAAATCGCTAACGGCCCGAGCAGAGAGGGCGACGGCGGGGCACGAGGGAACAACGGAGACGCTACCGATGACGCGAACCGAGGCACGGACGCCGGCGGGGACGGGGAGGGCGACAGCGACGTCGAGGTTGACGCAACCGTATCGAGAGCGCCACCCAAAAAGGGGCGGACAGCCATGGAGGTCACCGAATGGAGGGCGAACGGCACGATGCGAAAAGGCAGGGCGAGGCGGATGGAGAAAGAAGTGCCGAGAAGGCCATGGTGGAGGGGAGGGACGGGAGGACGAAAGAAGGGCGAGGAGGACGAGCGGCCCGCACAGACCGCGAGCAGACAGCGCCTGCTGGCCATTTCGAGACATTCGCCAAGAACGCTAGCTACATGGGAGGGCTTCGTGAAGGATGGATTGAAAAACATTCGAACAAAGAAGAGGCGACGGGAGGAACCGGCGGAGGATGCAGTGACGTGAGACACACACACACACACACACACACACACACACACACACACACACACACACACACACACACACACACACACACACACACACCGCTCACCCACGCGCACTGGGCCTTGCACTTTGAATGCCGTGGGGCTCCTGTCGTCAGACGTGGAGACGCGAGGGTTGCCCCCCCTTGCCCCACCACCTCGTGTGTGTGGAGAAGTTTACCTTACCTTACCTTACCACACACACACACACACACACACACACACACACACACACACACACACACACACACACACACACACACACACACACACACACACACACACACACACACACACACATGAGGTTCTAAAATAAATAAATAAATAAAACGGACATCCCAAGCAGGGAGGGCTGGGTCGAGGACAGACACGTCCCCACCTTTGAGAGAGAGAGAGAGATTTTTATTAACCAAAAAGAAATCACGACTTTCAGTGATTTGGGCTCTCTCTCACCTTTGCAGGATTTTGCAAGGGCGAGGGGGAGGGGGCGCATCGCGGCGTGGAGAGGGCTGGGCACAGGGCACAGGGGATCTCTCTCGAGGGCTGGCGGGCGCATTTTTGTTCTCTTGCTCGAGCCGTTGTTCGCGGCAGGTGCATGTGCATGCACATGCACGCCTGCGGCTGCGACGTCCACGTCACCGCTGAGCAGGCGCATGCCTTGGCGGAGAAAGAAGGGCTCGCACTCGTGAAGAGCAGCAGGAGCGCCACCGGCTTCGCGGGCGTCACCAAGGGCAGCTCGCGCGCGCGCCCGTATCAAGTTTTGGACACCCGGTGGACGATCGATGGGACGTCCGGCAAGAAAAGGAGGAAGAGTCTGGGCAGCTTTTTTACGGCGGAGCACGCCGCGCTCGTGTACGCCAGGCATGTGGCCGAGGTTGGCAAGCGGAGCCGCGGTGGTCGGAGGGCTGGGGCGGGCAGGAAGCATGCCGACGCTTCGGAAGCAGAGGCTTGGTGGAACATACACTCCAGCGAGAATCGGGTTAGAGTCGAGGCGATGAGCCCCGAGGACGCCGGGGAGGCCGCGGAGAAGGAGGGCGCGGTCAAGGTGGACAAAACACTCAACCCGTCGGGCTATAAGGGCGTCATCAAGCGGGCCAGCACGGCCGAAGGCGGCGCCACCTACTCCGCGTTGTGGCACCCGTGCGCGAGCGACGCGAAGCGCCTCGGCAAGACGACCCTGCGCTTCGGCCTGTGGTCCCACCCGGAGCACGCCGCGCTTGTTATCGCGCGAGAGAGCAAGCGCGTCCTCGAGGAGGCGGATGCGGCGGAGACGGCGGCGGCGGCGGCGGCGGCGGAGGCGGCGGCGGCGGCGGCGATGATGGCAGCGGCTGCGGCGCTGCAATCGGCGATGCCTGCGGCAGCGGCGACGGTGCCCGTCGCGGCGACGGTGCCCGTCGCCGGCAGTGATCCGCAGGGACCTTCGGCGCGCGAGGAGGTGAGCGGCGCCGCGGCATCATCGTGGAACTTGCAATGCCTCGCTGACGTGGCTGGGTGCAAGGCTCCGGTCGATCCGCGACTCGCTCAAGGGCGGCGAGGCGACCCGCAGCACCCTCTACGGGACCGCGCGGATCTGGCTGCTCAGGACGGCGCCGGCATGGCAGGGCGGGTCGAGTGAACTTGCTCTGTGGCGACGGCGCCTCTAACTCCGGGAGCCACCGCCGGCGTCGGGCGATGCGGGGGCGGCGGCGGCGGGATATGCTGCACCGCAGGGCGCCGCTGCTATCCTAGCCGACGAGCGCCTGAGCTCTGCGTCTCGATTACGGCTGGCCGACAGCTCGGATCGGCTGCCACGTCGGCGGCGCCGCCCCCGCTTTGCTGCTGCCAGCGCGACCGAGCCAGTGAGCTCGCGGTGCGGCGCCTCGAGGGCGTGGAGAGGGCGGCCGCATGCCCTCGTCAGCGGCGGGAGCTCGGCCGGACGGCTGCAGCTGCGCCTCCGCCCCGCCGTCGCCGCAGCGACTGGCCGACAGCTCGGATCGGCAGCCACGTCGGCGGCGCCGCCCTCGCTTTGCTGCTGCCAGTGCGACCCCGATGACTCGCGGTGCGGCGCCTCGAGGGCGTGGAGAGGGCGGCCGCATGCCCTCGTCAGCGGCGGGAGCTCGGCCGGACGGCTGCAGCTGCGCCTCCGCCCCGCCGTCGCCGCAGCGACTGGCCGACAGCTCGGATCGGCAGCCACGTCGGCGGCGCCGCCCTCGCTTTGCTGCTGCCAGCGCGACCCCGATGACTCGCGGTGCGGCGCGTCGAGGGCGTGGAGAGGGCGGCCGCATGCCCTCGTCAGCGGCGGGAGCTCGGCCGGACGGCTGCAGCTGCGCCTCCGCCCCGCCGTCGCCGCAGCGACTGGCCGACAGCTCGGATCGGCAGCCACGTCGGCGGCGCCGCCCTCGCTTTGCTGCTGCCAGTGCGACCGAGCCAGTGAGCTCGCGGTGCGGCGCGTCGAGGGCGTGGAGAGGGCGGCCGCATGCCCTCGTCAGCGGCGGGAGCTCGGCCGGACGGCTGCAGCTGCGCCTCCGCCCCGCCGTCGCCGCAGCGACTGGCCGACAGCTCGGATCGGCAGCCACGTCGGCGGCGCCGCCCCCGCTTTGCTGCTGCCAGTGCGACCGAGCCAGTGAGCTCGCGGTGCGGCGCCTCGAGGGCGTGGAGAGGGCGGCCGCATGCCCTCGTCAGCGGCGGGAGCTCGGCCGGACGGCTGCAGCTGCGCCTCCGCCCCGCCGTCGCCGCAGCGACTGGTCGACAGCTCGGATCGGCAGCCACGTCGGCGGCGCCGCCCCCGCTTTGCTGCTGCCAGCGCGACCCCGCGGTGCGGCGCCTCGAGGGCGTGGAGAGGGCGGCCGCATGCCCTCGTCAGCGGCGGGAGCTCGGCCGGACGGCTGCAGCTGCGCCTCCGCCCCGCCGTCGCCGCAGCGACTGGCCGACAGCTCGGATCGGCAGCCACGTCGGCGGCGCAGCCCCCGCTTTGCTGCTGCCAGTGCGACCGAGCCAGTGAGCTCGCGGTGCGGCGCCTCGAGGGCGTGGAGAGGGCGGCCGCATGCCCTCGTCAGCGGCGGGAGCTCGGCCGGACGGCTGCAGCTGCGCCTCCGCCCCGCCGTCGCCGCAGCGACTGGTCGACAGCTCGGATCGGCAGCCACGTCGGCGGCGCCGCCCTCGCTTTGCTGCTGCCAGCGCGACCCCGATGACTCGCGGTGCGGCGCCTCGAGGGCGTGGAGAGGGCGGCCGCATGCCCTCGTCAGCGGCGGGAGCTCGGCCGGACGGCTGCAGCTGCGCCTCCGCCCCGCCGTCGCCGCAGCGACTGGCCGACAGCTCGGATCGGCAGCCACGTCGGCGGCGCCGCCCTCGCTTTGCTGCTGCCAGCGCGACCCCGATGACTCGCGGTGCGGCGCGTCGAGGGCGTGGAGAGGGCGGCCGCATGCCCTCGTCAGCGGCGGGAGCTCGGCCGGACGGCTGCAGCTGCGCCTCCGCCCCGCCGTCGCCGCAGCGACTGGCCGACAGCTCGGATCGGCAGCCACGTCGGCGGCGCCGCCCCCGCTTTGCTGCTGCCAGCGCGACCCCGCGGTGCGGCGCCTCGAGGGCGTGGAGAGGGCGGCCGCATGCCCTCGTCAGCGGCGGGAGCTCGACCGGACGGCTGCAGCTGCGCCTCCGCCCCGCCGTCGCCGCAGCGACTGGTCGACAGCTCGGATCGGCAGCCACGTCGGCGGCGCAGCCCCCGCTTTGCTGCTGCCAGTGCGACCGAGCCAGTGAGCTCGCGGTGCGGCGCCTCGAGGGCGTGGAGAGGGCGGCCGCATGCCCTCGTCAGCGGCCGGAGCTCGGCCGGACGGCTGCAGCTGCGCCTCCGCCCCGCCGTCGCCGCAGCGACTGGTCGACAGCTCGGATCGGCAGCCACGTCGGCGGCGCAGCCCCCGCTTTGCTGCTGCCAGTGCGACCGAGCCAGTGAGCTCGCGGTGCGGCGCCTCGAGGGCGTGGAGAGGGCGGCCGCATGCCCTCGTCAGCGGCGGGAGCTCGGCCGGACGGCTGCAGCTGCGCCTCCGCCCCGCCGTCGCCGCAGCGACTGGTCGACAGCTCGGATCGGCAGCCACGTCGGCGGCGCCGCCCTCGCTTTGCTGCTGCCAGCGCGACCCCGATGACTCGCGGTGCGGCGCCTCGAGGGCGTGGAGAGGGCGGCCGCATGCCCTCGTCAGCGGCGGGAGCTCGGCCGGACGGCTGCAGCTGCGCCTCCGCCCCGCCGTCGCCGCAGCGACTGGCCGACAGCTCGGATCGGCAGCCACGTCGGCGGCGCCGCCCTCGCTTTGCTGCTGCCAGCGCGACCCCGATGACTCGCGGTGCGGCGCCTCGAGGGCGTGGAGAGGGCGGCCGCATGCCCTCGTCAGCGGCGGGAGCTCGGCCGGACGGCTGCAGCTGCGCCTCCGCCCCGCCGTCGCCGCAGCGACTGGCCGACAGCTCGGATCGGCAGCCACGTCGGCGGCGCCGCCCCCGCTTTGCTGCTGCCAGTGCGACCGAGCCAGTGAGCTCGCGGTGCGGCGCCTCGAGGGCGTGGAGAGGGCGGCCGCATGCCCTCGTCAGCGGCGGGAGCTCGGCCGGACGGCTGCAGCTGCGCCTCCGCCCCGCCGTCGCCGCAGCGACTGGCCGACAGCTCGGATCGGCAGCCACGTCGGCGGCGCCGCCCTCGCTTTGCTGCTGCCAGCGCGACCCCGCGGTGCGGCGCCTCGAGGGCGTGGAGAGGGCGGCCGCATGCCCTCGTCAGCGGCGGGAGCTCGGCCGGACGGCTGCAGCTGCGCCTCCGCCCCGCCGTCGCCGCAGCGACTGGCCGACAGCTCGGATCGGCAGCCACGTCGGCGGCGCCGCCCTCGCTTTGCTGCTGCCAGTGCGACCGAGCCAGTGAGCTCGCGGTGCGGCGCGTCGAGGGCGTGGAGAGGGCGGCCGCATGCCCTCGTCAGCGGCGGGAGCTCGGCCGGACGGCTGCAGCTGCGCCTCCGCCCCGCCGTCGCCGCAGCGACTGGCCGACAGCTCGGATCGGCAGCCACGTCGGCGGCGCAGCCCCCGCTTTGCTGCTGCCAGTGCGACCGAGCCAGTGAGCTCGCGGTGCGGCGCCTCGAGGGCGTGGAGAGGGCGGCCGCATGCCCTCGTCAGCGGCGGGAGCTCGGCCGGACGGCTGCAGCTGCGCCTCCGCCCCGCCGTCGCCGCAGCGACTGGCCGACAGCTCGGATCGGCAGCCACGTCGGCGGCGCCGCCCTCGCTTTGCTGCTGCCAGTGCGACCGAGCCAGTGAGCTCGCGGTGCGGCGCGTCGAGGGCGTGGAGAGGGCGGCCGCATGCCCTCGTCAGCGGCGGGAGCTCGGCCGGACGGCTGCAGCTGCGCCTCCGCCCCGCCGTCGCCGCAGCGACTGGCCGACAGCTCGGATCGGCAGCCACGTCGGCGGCGCCGCCCCCGCTTTGCTGCTGCCAGTGCGACCGAGCCAGTGAGCTCGCGGTGCGGCGCCTCGAGGGCGTGGAGAGGGCGGCCGCATGCCCTCGTCAGCGGCGGGAGCTCGGCCGGACGGCTGCAGCTGCGCCTCCGCCCCGCCGTCGCCGCAGCGACTGGCCGACAGCTCGGATCGGCAGCCACGTCGGCGGCGCCGCCCCCGCTTTGCTGCTGCCAGCGCGACCCCGCGGTGCGGCGCCTCGAGGGCGTGGAGAGGGCGGCCGCATGCCCTCGTCAGCGGCGGGAGCTCGACCGGACGGCTGCAGCTGCGCCTCCGCCCCGCCGTCGCCGCAGCGACTGGTCGACAGCTCGGATCGGCAGCCACGTCGGCGGCGCAGCCCCCGCTTTGCTGCTGCCAGTGCGACCGAGCCAGTGAGCTCGCGGTGCGGCGCCTCGAGGGCGTGGAGAGGGCGGCCGCATGCCCTCGTCAGCGGCGGGAGCTCGGCCGGACGGCTGCAGCTGCGCCTCCGCCCCGCCGTCGCCGCAGCGACTGGCCGACAGCTCGGATCGGCAGCCACGTCGGCGGCGCCGCCCCCGCTTTGCTGCTGCCAGCGCGACCCCGCGGTGCGGCGCCTCGAGGGCGTGGAGAGGGCGGCCGCATGCCCTCGTCAGCGGCGGGAGCTCGGCCGGACGGCTGCAGCTGCGCCTCCGCCCCGCCGTCGCCGCAGCGACTGGTCGACAGCTCGGATCGGCAGCCACGTCGGCGGCGCAGCCCCCGCTTTTTGCTGCTGCCAGTGCGACCGAGCCAGTGAGCTCGCGGTGCGGCGCCTCGAGGGCGTGGAGAGGGCGGCCGCATGCCCTCGTCAGCGGCGGGAGCTCGGCCAGACGGCTGCAGCTGCGCCTCCGCCCCGCCGTCGCCGCAGCGACTGGCCGACAGCTCGGATCGGCAGCCACGTCGGCGGCGCAGCCCTCGCTTTGCTGCTGCCAGTGCGACCCCGATGACTCGCGGTGCGGCGCCTCGAGGGCGTGGAGAGGGCGGCCGCATGCC